TGAGTAAGCCTCCCATGAGAAACCTTTGCCTGAATGCAGCTATCTCAGCCTTGCATTACACAGAGAGCAGTGGGTGATGAAAAATGTTCCCCAAGGTGCCCACTGCGAAGCAGCTCCTGCCAAAGCACAGACTAGTGACCTCTCCATGATGCCATGGTAGACCAGGGCTGGAGGCAGATGGTTTCACTCCATGCAACAGCAGGCTCAAACTTTTATTGAGACAAGTGCTATAATTACTCCTTCATTTATCACAGTTCCCAAGAGTGTGATAATTTGGGTAGAACTAAAACATCTCTTTCAAAAATGCATCTTGATGTAAAGGACTTGCAGGATAGGAGAGAGGCTTCCTCCTAAAGGAAGCCTTTTCCACCTGAAGGTTAGGTAGCTACTTCAAAGGAGTCATCAAGGTCCCTCTCAAGTCCACTGAGAGTGAGAGGCAGCTCCAGTGGGCTGCTCGCCTTGCTCCAAGGCACACGTCTAAGGCAAGGGGCTTGACTCCATCTTTAGAGGGGCCCCTTTTCCCTAGTGACTTTGGAGGAGGCTTCAGTTTCTATCTTTGAGGACTACACCAGACTTTCTGATGGGTGAAAGCAGAAGCTTATGAACCTCAGCTCGGGTATATAAACCTCATTTAGATTTACATGACTTGATCTTCCCACGATTGGGTTTTGCTTGCTGGGGAACTGAAGGACCCAGCAGTGTCTGTGAAGGTACCTACATGACACTCCGGTCATCAAGACTTGGCTTCAAAAGCGTCTGTGCCTTCTTTCTGCTAAATATCACAGACTGAGCACAATGTAATCTTTATCCTGCTCCTGAATAATTTTGATGGCTCTATTCTGCTCCGCAGGATTTTCACATGCTCCACCAAGTGGATCTGCTCCCGCAGCCCTTTCTCCACTGCAATGACAGCAGTGACCCACTGCAGCCCTCTGTGTCATCCCTCTGCTCACACATCCCAGAATCACGTCTCTGCTAACAGTGTCACACTGGAAACTATTTCAGCTCCTTCTCCACTCTAGCCACTAAATCTCTGTCCGGATGCTGCTCCACAGGACCCTTCTCGAGCGCCGGGTGGTATTTGTTTCTTGCCCAGTTGCATCACGTCTCATTTGCCTTCATGAAAAAGGCATTTTTTTACTAGGTAGTGAAGGCTAACAAGCAGTTCAGCTTGCTTTCCACAGCAGCCCTGTCTTCCAGGTTATTTATAATTCTTCTAGTTTGTGTGTCATGGACAAATGTTATCAGCCCCTGAAGATCTTGCTGTCTACACCATCCAGGTGATTTGTTCACAGAAAGCTTTTTCTTCCTTCTGGCTCCCATCCAAAATACAAACATACCCCAAATAACACAACTGCTGAGACAGGCAGCAGGAAAACCAAAAGGATGGGGGGAGGAAGGGGTGGTTTAAATACTACTTGGAAGTGATTGGCAGTCGCTGGTTTGGAGTGCAAAAAAAGTCATTTATTTTGTTTTTAAAAGCTTAAATACATAAAGCTGAAACTACCACACATGCTTTGCAGATGATCACTACTTTCTTCTACATCTTTTGCTATACAGAGCTCCCACAACAAGTCTGTGCATTACTGTAAACACAGCAAGGAGGTGCTTTACATGTGGTCTGAGAAAAGTCTTCTCAAAAACTGAAGCAGATTGTAGTGGCAGGCAGTTTCATGCTTTGTGTTCTTCTGCCACACCAATGAAGAGCAAGAATCAGCCAAGACAAATAATTTTTCATTTTCTCTGGAAATACTCTTTCCATCCTGCCAAAATATGAGTAAAAGTTTCCCCATCCTTCAGCTGAACCTTCCAAGCACCTTCTCTACACTGACTTGGCCATGACCCCACATAATAGTTAAAGATAGCGTTCCCTGCAGACAAAAAGCAATACCTTGAACTTCCTACTTGCTTAGACTGAGAATTCAAGTGTCCCAGATAAAGGCTGGGATACCTCAAGGATGGTGCTCCCAAAGCTCCTCTGATGTTCCATCAACAACATATTTTTGGAATGCCATGAAGCAATATGCACAAATGGAATTCCTGCAGCAAAAGCTCTTAGGAGTCAAGATGAATATTTATTTCTAAAACAAACCAAGTTAAATTCCTTCCCTAACCCTCCCCTGCATGCCCAACAGCTCCCAGCCCTTACAAAATACAAACACATTTCAGTGGCACAATGAATATCAGGACCAAGAATGAGGCAAACGTTATAGTATCTATGCCACAACTTCCACCACCATGTTACACCTATTGCAACACACCACACACGTCAAAAGCACATAGGAAAGCTGACGAGAATATCTTCTACCCTTTTGAGCGTGCTTACTTCTACAGGAATAAGGTGTGAAGTACAGCAGGAGACTCCCAGGAGGCATTAGGAAAAGCAGGAAAGACTGTAGAAAAAGAAGTTGTAAGTGCAGCTGGAAAACTCTTCCTTTTTCCTACCAAGGCTACTGCTACGTCCAAATATATTACTACGTTCTTTTCAAGAACGAAACACAAAGATCTGCCAGCAGCCGAGCAAGATACGCCTGTGTTCACAGCCCTATTCTATACATCTTAGGCAAGGCAGAAATTTGGCACGAGGACCATCCCTTTGATAAGGCCTGATTCCTCGCGATGCTCACCATCCTCAGCTGGGCAGACTTTGCTCAGTGCATGCCCTTGCAAACTCTGGGTGCGCTCATTCTCTTGAAACACCAGCAGCGTTTTCCAAAGCGCAGACCAAGAGGAGGGACATGCTGATGGGACAGTCTGTGGAGAGTTAAGAACCTCCTTGGCCGTATGACTCGTGGGGCGAGGTGGAGATACTGGGTCCAAAACAACACACTTTGAAGGGGTGCCCATACCAAAGCGGTGAATTGCTTAAGGCAGAGGGGAACAGTAAGAAGCAAAACTGGGGAGGAGAGATGGACTGTGATTTGTGGTCCTCAGGAAATCGGGCTATAGGAGGACAAAGGTCTCTCTGGCCCTGAAGGTTATCACAGCGTGGGGTGATGTGCCCATGCTTTCTTTTGTGCCAATTTAACCAACTGAAGGAAAGGTTCTAGTTTCTCCTGAAATCTCCATTCCCATTAAAGACCCATCTGTGGATGCAATTTGATTGCAAATAAAATTCCCTTTTACCAGCATGAATTTCCTTTTGTCTTCTCATGGGAATAACCTATACCAGCATTGAATCTCCTTTATATTGCTTCAAGGACACATTGTGCTGCTCACGATCTGATAAAAGGGCTAATACACAGGCCTTAAGGAGAATTTGAGGCTGAGAACATTCAAATAGTGCACCTCAATCAACAAAATGGCTATGAGAGCCCTGAGACTTTCCAGGCTTGACTATGATGAGCGTAAGGTACATTTCACGTAATGAAACACCTTGCTTGTCGCCTGGGCAATGGAAGAGTACACCTTTCCTAAAAAGAAGAGGAGATCAGCGTGCCCTGGTTACAGCCAATTTTGGTTCTTCAGCAGGGACTTCTTTTTGCCATGTTTTACAGGTAAGCCTGATATTATGACGAAGAAGAGGTGAACTTCTCAGAGCTGACAGAAAACACAAGTACTAAAGAGGACCACATAAAAAACAGCTATATGGGGGGAAGCAGGCAAAACCAGGAGGTTTAAGACAATTAAAAGTCCTGAAAAGGGGAGTATTTGGACCAGTGGACATAGTAGTTTCCTCTACTTCAGGAAGAAGTCATCATTGGGATGGGGAAAGGAAGGTGCAGAGAAACAGCAGCCAACCAGCAGCCTGCTGTAGAGGGGTGCACCCTGCAATGTACAAGTAATGGGAGTTTTTAAGAGACCCCACTCTACATTTGGCAGTAACTAAGTCCCTAATTGCACAACATGAACATTTACATGGAGCCATCAGAAATTACCAGTTCCTGTCATAGACTAAAGACACTGACACCAAAAGCTATGGCTACTCTACCAAATCAGGTGTGCTCAGGATCATTTCTAGACCTGAGACCAAATGGCTTGGAGCAACGCAGTCTGTGAAATCAAACACTTGCCCTCTGAATGAGCTGCACATTCAGGCTCCCAGGGACTCTGTATCAAATCTGTTAAATACTGAGTTTATTTTAATACTTGCATACTCCAGATCCAAAATGAGCCAGATGTGATTCTGTGGCTACCATGCTTCAGGTCTTCATGCTTAATTCCTACACATTAATATTCCCCCTACCTCTGCTCTCTGAAGAGGGAACTCTTGGCTACATGATTCACTTGTCCTCTCAATGATGAAGACACAGTGAGACAGCAGTCCAACCACAAAACATGTATGAAAAGAGATAGCACTCTGTGCTTTAGGGGAATAGACCTTCATATAGCATGTGCAGAATGGAGTCAGAGCTTGGACTATTTAACCAGGCTTTTGGGGATTTAGTGGAGAAATATTCTTGGGATATTGGCTTTGAAGTCTCAATCTCAGCTCTCCACTGTAAAGGGATTAACTGTTCATGGATGTTGATGACCATGTAGGTCACCACTGTGGTTTGCCACAGGGTTCTACAGACCTAAACACACAAATATCTGATAGCTTTAGCTAAAGAATTGGATCCTGTAACTGTAATTGTTACTGCAACAGTCTTGGGCGCCAGGAAGCAGCAAATACCTGCCCTTGCAGGACAGCGAGCCTCTGTTGCCAGCATAACAGAAAACCATAATCTACAGCCAGGAAAACCTAAGTAAAGGTCAAATTCAGTAGTTCCAGGGGCTGCAAGGATGCTTGAATCCTACTGTGGCAAGGCCTGCAATGCAGCTTCACACAGCCCAGCACCCTTTCATCCTCTCACCTAGATCAGCAGCAAAGCCAATGGCATCATCAAGCCAGGAAAAACAAAACCAGAGGCTGCTCAGGGGCTGGCTGGAGCACACCATCTTCAGTGGCTTGTGTTGCCCTTCCCCGCACCAAGGTGAGATATCTGTCCCCAGGCTGGGTGGCCACTGTCTCAAGGGGAGGCTCTGGGTGGGAGGTGAATGCAGCTGGAGCCCCGTGGTCATCTGTTCATGCGCTGCAGGATGGTCACGCAGCCGTGATAACTGGTACAGCGCTGCAGCGGCGGCTGCTGCTCCACACTCCCCGTCGCCGGGTCGAAAGTGAACGCTTTGTCCGTGCCTTCCCCATTCTCATCTCGGCCACCCAGGATGTAAATCTTCCCTCCGCACACTGTCAGGCCACAGCTCTCCTGGAAAGCAGAAGGAAAACCCAAGAGCTGAGGAGCGAGCCTCTAGTATTAGGCAATGGGGCTGAGTCATTGTGATGGGCTCAACTCTCACCTGCCCAGCAGAAGGGAGGAAAAGTAGGTAAAGTGAGTGATGTCTGGCTCTTGGGGTGCTGCAATCTTACTGTTTTAGTAAGAGTTTAGGCACTTGAAATGCCTCAAGCCAGTTGCTGTTTCTGGCAGTCCCTCGGGCACAGCACAGACTCACAAGCATACCAAGAGACCAGAGACACAGCCCACCACCTCCCTGTAAAAGCCACTTATAAGGGTGCACTGACATGGGCATTTTCATTGAGATCGGGGCGAGCTGCGTCCCATCGTTCCTCTTCACTGTGCCATGGCTCACACTGCAGCTTGGCTTTGGAGTACAAAACCGTGATGACACTAAACCAAGATACACGACCACCACCACTCCGTGTTCAGTCCACAGGCCAGCCTAAAGCCAGTATAACCCTCACCCTGAAACACATAGTGTGGGGAACAGGTCCTCAACGCCAATGGTTTCACCCGACAGATCCACTCCTCTGGCATTAATAGCTAGTGTAGACCCAGCCTCAGCAAAAAAACTTGGGTTTGCTGTGGGAGAGACATCCTCCAAGCAGCACGGACACCGATGGCGAATACACGTTTGAGTTGCTCTGCAGAGGTCACGTTCATATGCTCACAGTCAAACCCACAATATATTTTCCTTGCCTTCAATCTCAGCAAAGCACAGATGGCTCCTATTCTAGAGAGAGAGGGAAGGCTCAGAGGGTCTTTCCTAAATCTCGTCCTTACCAGAGGCCCAGGGAGGGTGGCCACTTCCCGCCAGCTGTCTTTCTTTGGATCGTAGCTGAAGATTTTACTGAGGAGTCCACCTACAACATAAATGATGTTGTCCAAGCAGACAGCACTGATGCACCTCTGGTAAAAAGGGGTGGGAGACAAGAGCGTCCATTTGTTGTCCTCCGGATCGTAACACTGGACCTGGGACAAGAAATGCAGCTATGGGAACACGAGTTTACCACATCTCCCTGCTTGGATGAAACTGCTATTCACTAGAAATAAAAGCACAAGGGCACAGAAACATGGATGGAGCTTCAACACCCAGAGACCAGTGCAGTGAGCAAAGGGATGAAGGGTTCTAGTATTCCCTCTTGCATTCAGGTCTCCCAGACAAAATAGGGGCTCCCAGCATGGCTGTCCTTGACCACAGGTAAGCGTTCAGAGATGGAGCTGAGAAGCACTGATGGCTTTTCCTGCAGCTCAGGAGACCAGAAGCATCACTTCTGGCTTGCAGAGGTCTCCTCCAGGCAATTACTACTGTTGCTACTTATCTGAAGTGAATGCCCACAGTGTCGGAGGTTTGTTCCTGTGGTGCCTCAGGGCTGACCAGGCTCCAGAGCAGAACAGGCTCTACTGAAACCATGCCTAATATACTGTCAGCTCCTGACACCTTCCTTCTCTGGTCCCTAAGTCTCATTGGCTTCCATTTAAATGTATGGCTTCCCATCTTATTATAAGGGAGTCTTCATTAGTCTTCAAAAAAATCCTCCCTTGTGGCTTAAGGACAACTCCATTCCCTTCCACATTCCCTAGAAAACCTTCTTTTTTTAGGTCTCTGTCCATTCTAGATGCCCCAGCAATACCTTGTCAGTGTTAGCAGTGTCGTCCACAGCACCGCCCAGCACGTAGAGCTTGTTCAGGCAGGAGACCACAGCCGCCGAGCTCACGGCTTGAGGCAGCGGGGCCAAGGTTGACCAGCTGTTGGAGAAGGTGTCATAGCACTCCACGCTGGAGAGGCGGTAAAAACCATCAAAGCCTCCCACAGCGTAGATCTGCCACAAAAGGAGCAAAGCAAGCCGATTAGAAACTCTCGGACTCACCTAATGGGCTACGCTGCGCGGCGTACGTGAGGGGAGGCTAGGACTTGGCCAGAAGGACAGACACCAAGCCATGGAAAAACTTTGGCGTTGGACTAGACCTTTAACGGACCTTTAAAAGTCTGTTCCAACTCAAACCATTCTATGATTCTGTGAAACACCCCACACTGTATAGCTTTCACCCAAAGACTTAATACAGCTACCTGCAGAAGCCTTGCACCATCCCATGGTAGATCTTATTGCTACAACGTCATTTGTGACTACTTCAGGTGACAACACACACCCAACTGAAACCAATGACATCTTGGTTATGTCCTAGTTGTTCTCCCACCAAAACCATCTCTAAATGACCCATAAGACAAACACACACTGACAGTTCCTCACTGTACCGGGCAGGAGGAGAAGAGGGGAACAGCGCTCCATGTGGCTTCTTCCAAAATTTGGGCCATTGCTTACCTTGCCCTGAAGTGTTGCCATTTTGTGCCTCCATCGGCCTTTCTGCAGACAAGCGACCTTGATCCAGACATTCAGCTGGGAGCTCAGCACCCAAACATCATTGCTGCTGATGTGTCCTCCTGAAAAACAGAGGGATGGAGGGCTGGCGCGATCCCAAGGACCCCATCACCTCAATACACCACAATTTTGCATAGTTCCTCCCTGCAATGCAACAACTGAGGCCAGAATATGGTTGTTGGGTTATGGCCATGTAAACTCAGCTTCCCAAAGGAGACACTGTCTGGACTTCGAGGCACTTGTTACACTGCTCCATCCCTTATACAGAACTCATCTGATTGATAGGCATTATATTTTAAGTGAAGGACAGGCAGGAGACTGATGTTTCAGGAAACCCTGACTGACAGCACACACCAAAACAAGCTCATTCCACGGCTGAACACTTTTGACAGATGCCCAACAGGAGGGAAAGGTTTTTTAATGCTGCCATCCTCCCCCTCAAAGGTGAAACTGTTCCTTGGGACAGCAAAATCCAAACCGCCTCAGGATAAACTTCACCAAGAAGTGACTTGGCTCCAAAGCTGGGTTGCACATGAATGAGTCCTAGAGAATAGACCTCAGGAGTGGCTGTCCAAGCAGACGGCGTGCTATTCTTTGCAACCGGGGAGGGACCATCTGGTCCAGGGTACCTCACCTGATATGTACACATCGTTCTTCAGTGTGCAGGCAGCAAACTCTGACTTGGTGTAGCCAGGCACGCTGGAGAGGGCTGTCCACTGCCTGCTCTTGGGGTGGTAGAGGTCTGTGAAGGGCAGCTTGAGAAGGCCTTTCTTATCACAGCCCCCAATGATGATGATGACTTCTGCCAGCTCCATGAACCTAGAACACGAAAGGCATGGGTAACTGCCTGGGCCAGGCTACCCCTTTCCATCATCCCCCCCATCCTATCTAGGACATTGGCACCACAGTCCAGTGGATAGAGCAGGGTCCTCTCCTGCATCAGCTACCGATTTTCTGGGCAAATGATTTCACACCTGCACCTTCCCTTTTGTCTGCACGATCAAATCAAAGGCACCTCCCAACTTGGGTGGGAAGGGGTCCAAACTGCATAGGGAAAGAAAATGGGAATGACCTTTAGAAGTCCCTCGTGAGATTGCCTTCTGCCACTCACCCTCCCCCTTCCAGCACAATCAAACCTAATAATCCTCAAGGCAAAGCCACGAGCGTGGAAAGCCGCTCCTGGCAGCCTGCCTGCGGCAAGCTCTCTGCCTGGAGAGAGAAGTGTTTCCAGGAAATCTCTCTCTCTCCAGCCCTAATAGCAGTGAGCAGACGAGACAGACAGCAGGGGAAGGAAAATCCTGCCAACTAGTAGGTGGCAAGAGAGGAATGGCTCTGCAGGAGGGGAGGGGAGAGGAAGGAGGAGGGTGAAAGAGAATTTGAAAGGCTTGGTCCAATCCCCAGCTCTGCCATGGTTTGTGCAGGCTGTCATAATTCGCTTAAGACCAAAGCTGCAAAAGGAGGGAGGTAAAATGTGGATGCTGGGGGGTGGGATTTATCCCCAGTGAATTTTAGCTGTTTGCATCCTTGAGGAGGTCACCACAGACCCTGTTGTTGAGCAGTTCTGTATATAATAACCTGTTGTGGTATTCAGCCCAGAGAAGATGTGTCAAACCATCTCTTCCACCTGACAGAAATATGCCCTAAATCCCAGCCTGGGACTTCTGAGATGCACTGGGGCAACCTCCATCCTTCTGCTCAGGATGCTTCACTGAGCAGCAAAAAAACCTGCACTCCTTAGGCTGAAGAGCAGGAGAGCCCAAGAACCTGGCCCTGCAGCCCCACGGTCATGGATTTCCTCTGGAAAAGGATGGGGAGCCTTGCAAACCGACTCGGTTTGATATGGTCACCCACCCCAGGGCAGAGGTGTCCATCAGCACTCTTACCAAACACACCCTAAGGGACCTGTGGCACCATGAAGAAACAGCAGAGACTTAAAGAGTGGCTGGTCAAATCCAAACTTCACAGTCACAAAGAAGTCCAGATTTTTACACCCACACAACCCTAGAAATCACTTTTTCTTTGCCTCCTCCACTTTACACTGGCAGCTGCTTGGGCCAGCATCTCTTTTTCTTCTTGCTGTTCATCAACAAATCAATGGAAAGAAAAAAAAAAAAAAAGAAAAAAAAAAAAAAAAAGACACTTGGGGATGCCTAGGTAGCCACCTGGACAGTAACTACTTTTTCTTCCCTGGACATTAATTCCTGACCCTGCAGCAAGGCCTTTGAGCTAGGAAACACGCCAATGGCCAGGACGATTGAGACTGGTCCAAGCCTTCCTGCTAACAGACAGCCTGGAGAAGGTGGGAGAGAGACCAAAAGATGTGAAAGGAGAGCAGACAAGTGGCGGAGCTGGGAATGGAAAACACGTCTCAACCCAGTGCTCTACCCATTGGTGAAAGCAGATAGAAATAAAGAGCTATAAACACCCTTTCCTGCCCATAGTCTGGACACATATCTGGATAGCATCATTGCACACCCAGAGCAGTGTGATTAGAGCACTCCTTGCCAACCGAAAAAAAAAAGCATCACATGCATTAGTATATATTTCACAGGAATCCTTTAAGCCAGGCAAACAATCTCCAATGCCTTATTTTGGAAACAGGGAGGCCAAAAGAGAAGCAATTGGAAGAAAAGAAAAAGAAAAAACAACCCAAGAACTCCCCTCAAACTTTAAGATCCATCAGCTCAGGCCACGCAGGTCTAGAGAAGACAACAGTGTGTTTTACCTTCTGGGCCTCGATCGCAAAGAGCTGACCTCGTTCCCGAGGATGTAGTACTTGCGGGCCTCATGCAGTAGAGGAATGCACTCCTTCGAGTCCTGGATGAGTTCATCCATTTCCACCTTCTCCAGAAAGTAGGTGGGGTCGAGCAGGGGCAGACGCACATGCTCAAGGAGGTCCTTCAAGGCTCCCTTCCTGGCAGGTACGTCATGCCGTACCCAGCGCATGACTGCTTCGAAGACCACTTCTTCCTTGGGGACCACCAGCTGCTCATCGGACAGATATTCAACCAGCTCCTTCACACCCATCTCCAGGAACTCTTCATGACACGACACCTCCACAAAACACTCCAGCATGAACCTCTTGCTCTTTTCTGTCAGAGACGCAATGGAGAATGAATCAGCAAACTTCATGATGCCCAAGCAATTGCATGGGTGAAGCTGGCCTTCAAGGAAGGTGACACAAGCATCTCTGAGCTTGGAGATCTGCAGCAAGTCAGACAGTTCCAAGATGCCTTCAACGTTGTCCTCCTGAATGATGATGTTCCCCCCATACATATAATCAAGAAGGAGAGACATAGTGGAAGCAGATATCTTCTGGATGTTAATGATATCCTGGTGGCCTTCCTTGAGATTGCCACCAAACATGGCCCGGAAATACGTGCTGTTGGCTGACAAAGTGGCACGGTGACAGGGGAATTCTTGTCCATCAATTAATAGCACCACGTCTGTGAAGATGCCGCTCTGCCGGTAGGAGTTCAGTGTCTGGAGGATTTGCTCAGCATGGCAGGACCCACTGCAGAGCTTCATGTGCAGCTTTTCTTTGCCTGGGTCCCGCGTCACATTTTCCAGGCTGCTTGTCCTGAAACTTGATTCTTCTTTCATCATTCGATGCATCCTGATTGGGAAGCAGCGAAGGAGACAAGAGAACAGTACACTATTAAAATATCTGACTGCAATGTCCAAACACCATCACGGTTTCTGCATCTTCCTCGGTGGCACGAGGAAGTACAGATTCCAGCCAAAATAGAGTCAGACTCTGCCCCTTCATCTGCACACATGGCACCTCCTCAGTAACCAACATTTTCTCCAAACCACGGCACAGTGATGGGCACTAGGATATTTCCAATCCAACCCCATCTCAGTAGACAAACTTCTGCCTTTACGAGATGTTTCTTCTAAGGCAGTTGCCTTGCCCAGCCTATGCTGTACCACCACCTTGACACCCTTTCTTTCTCACATTTTGCTTTAACTGGTTTCCCCATCCTTTCAAATGCAAGTGCTCCACGGTATAGCCCAGCTGGGAGCAATGCAGTATTTTGACTGTTTCTATCCATCATGTTTCTCCAGGTGTCTTATTCCAGGCAAAAATCCAGACGTAAGGATGCGAGACTGAGATTTGCCAAAGATAGCTACAACATGACCTGCCCAAAAGCATAGGAGATGTCTACATCTGACATACCTTTCTGCTCTATTTGTTCTCCAGATGATTTTAAGTGTTTCCTAAAGGGCTTCATAAAGTGATTGCAATGAAGCACAGCAGACTTCTCTCATTCGAACACTAATGGTTCACCGTTCACACTGACAGCGTGAGCAGCAGGACCCACGCCTGTGGGACAGGGAAAGTCGTGTGCTCAGCCTGGAGGCTGCAAAAAGCTGCACATCCAAAAGGGTGATTCCTGCTCAAGTCGAGGGGAGGCAGCCAGATCACCTGTAAAGAGTAACCCCTGGGGAGAAGGACCTTTGCCTGCAGAAGGGGGGTCTGGAAAGCAGAGGAGCATCGTAGAATTGAAATAGTGACAAGAATTGGCTATATCTGACAATGGTGAGTGAATCAAAGACCCCAAACCCTCAACCACTGCCTCAACTGTCCTAGTTGCTGCCCCATTTCTTCCACTTCTCCCCCAAAGCCTGCCCTGCCCCATCGCTGTGGCACAGACTGAGATGCTGGGGGGAAGAGTGAGGAGCGGACTGACCCCGGATCTCCCTGCACTTGCCCAACTGCTCTCACTGGCTGGGTGTTAAATCAAAGGGGCACAGCAATGCCATCACCTGTGTTTTAAAAGCATGGCAAAGAGTCAGCACCGCTCCTTGAGCAGGGGTGCCAATGAGGACCATCAGCAGAGCACTCCTGATCACAGCTTCTACCACGGCCATGCAGGCTTTAGATTGCTTTTCTGAGGCTCTGTAACAGCAAAGAGCCTGTTTTGGGAGGGGGGGGTGGTCAGGCTTTGCTCTTAAGGGCCCCCTAAGTTAGGCTCTGGAGCATCTCACCACAAGCCTCTGGCAGGAGCACAAGTCGCCACTGCGGTGACAAGTTACCCGACGTCGGTGGCTTTGTGGTGTCCACACAGTCTCCTGCAGAAAGGCAGGTAGCACATCCCTTGAGGAGGGTTAACCTTGAATTTCTCACGAGTCAAGATCCCTGGCTTAGCTCTAGTCCTTCATCTCTTTTCCTATACCTGCATCTCCCAGACAGCCATCGCATCTGACCCCAAAGGTGCTCAGATTCTCCCATGCTCCAGAGGACACCTCCTGGCTGCACCTCCACCAGGGTAGCTGTGCGTAGCACAACCAAATCTAGTCCTGAGGATCTTCACCCCACCACCCCAAGAAAGCATCACCGCATCCTTTGCGCCTGCAGAATCCCCCAGCAGTGGGGAAAACAGCTCTGCCCATGCCACGGCATTGCTGCAGGGACCTAAAGAGCAGTGAAGCAGCATGACAAGCCCTAACTAAATAGCTAAGAAATCCTGTGGGAGTGGGTGAAGGCTCTAAACACCCTAAATGCCACCAATAGGTGCTCAGGGCTGTGTACAGAAGGGAAACGCTGTTAGGCAGTTTAAAGTGATTTAGAGAAGTTACAACAAAGGCAGCTCTCTAGAGACGGTTTTGCAAAGAGCACGGCAGACTCCACATTTCACCAACACATGCGGCTCCAGCCAAAAAAACCCACATCTATATCCCCACTTCTCTCCCTGATCCACACACGTTTCCAAGCCATCAGGGTCACGCACTGCCCCGCACAGCTCAGCGCTGGGAAGAAACAGCTCAGGCTGACCTCCTTACAAAGGGACACCCCTCCTTCCCTCCCCAGTTCATCCAAATGCCCTTCCCCAGCTCACATCGTCCTGTCTGCCCATGAGACAAACGATGCCAACGCCAAAGAGCACGTTTGCTCCATTGCCCTCACCCACGCACACTCCTCTGCGGGTCACCCTCTCCACCCAAGTACCACACAGCAGCAAACGATGCCTTATTTTTTTTTTTTCTTTTCTTTTTGCAAGCCTCCCCAGATGCTAGTGCAAGAAGTCCAACATTACCTGGCCCACAGTTTGTGTTTTCCAGGTGGTACCTAGCGAAGACTCAACTTCCCTCTGGGCGAGCTCCCATCCACATTAGGGTTCTGCACGGAGACAGGTCCCCTCCGCAAAGCACGCTCAGCCCTTCTGCGGTAACGCTTGGGGAAGCACAAAAGCATCCCCTTTATCCTCACTGCCGGAGAGGTGGAGGAGAAATCTGCTTTTGTTTCTCCTGAATGACATGCCAGAGAGCTACAGGGCATTAGCCATGCAGCTGTCAATAACAGCCAGCCAGGGAGGAGCCAGGACCCAGGGAAAACCCATCGCAGCTCAGGGAAAATATATCACACCAGGGCAGCTTAAGGGTCCGAGCCATCTGGAGAGCAAATTGAGGTCCAGGTGGAACGATTCATTTGATAGAGACTCCATCTCACTGGAAACCAGAATAAAGCCGATAAATAAAATACAGCTCTGTGAGCAAAAAAGGCGCCCGGAGCGGGAATGGACTGGGTCAGGGAGGAGCTGCGGTCCCCCTCATTAACGTGTGATAATTAGGTAATTAGGTCCTTGAGGATGAGGAGGACAGAAGGGGAGGTTTGTCCCGTGAGGCTTTCTGCACCCTCCCCTCTAACTTGATCCCAGTTGTTGGTTGAATTTTTAAATGCTCATAGCAGGCATCAAAGCAGTCCCGGGGAAGCTCCACAAAGTAACCCTTGTGCTGAAGACTATCAACCCCCCTAATGTGATGCAGCCAGCCTTCCCTCCCTTGCCCAGCATTGCTTCGAACAACTTCTATTATTTCACACTAGACAGAGAAGAAATATTAATCATAACCAGCCCCTGCATGCTGTCATCGCAGTGAAATCACCTTTTGCTGGCTGGCTCCTTTCTCCTCCTCTCCCATCGCTGGGATGCAGGGCACAAGCTGGCATCCTGCTTGCTCCCAACATTTGCATATGAATCACTGGCAACCTAGAAGGGACTGTGGTTTTCCAGCCTGTGCTGTGGGCTGGAAGGGTTGGGGGATTTGCTCTTAGGACCTTCCACCCTGATAGATTTGGCACTGCCAGGCTGCACCGACCAGGGGTGCAACCATGTCCGGCACGGATGGAGCTAGAGATAACTGGAAGTGGCTCATCGGGACAAATAGCAGCAGAGCACTGATCCTGCCCTGTGGGACACAGCAAAAAAGGTCTCCAGAGTGTTGGAAACTCTTCAGCAACGTTGCAAAGCCATTATCTCCTTGTAGCCATAAAGCACGGGGCTACCAACCCGTTCAAAACCAAACCCCAGCTTCAGGCAGCGCGTGCAGCCCCAGGGTTGGGGAGGACCAGCTACTAGGAGTTGTAAACACACAAAGTAACCACAATGAGAAGGCTTTGCAGGGTGCAGCTGCCCCCGTGCCCATGCCAAGCCGCCTATCGAGGGGATTTCTACAGCTAGACTGCGCTGCTCTTGGCCCTGCATCTCGCTGCAGGATGCCACCGTGCCCCAAAGCAGCTGTTGCTGTGCAAAGGCTGTGCTACAACCCACGCTTGTGGCCTTTTTGCATGAAACAGAGGGCATTAAATACCCCACAGAGCTGCAGGACGTGAGGGTGTTTGAAAGGGGTGTCTGCTAGGCAGCACCAGAGGAAGGACGCCTTACGCTGCCAGTGCCCTGGGTCTTCTCCCAGGGTAGATACAGATACCAGAAGCAGTGATTTTACAGTGGATTAGGACTCTAAAATCCCTTCTTCACATTAAAAATGCTCAGCCTCTGGCACATGGCCCTTGGAAGCCATTAGGCACAAAGCCACAAGCATTAAAAAGATGCAAAAGGGAAATACGAGTATATAGGACCAGGAACTCCAGGCACCTGCTGGGGAAAGCTCTCTGTGAATGTAGGACCAAAGCTTACTGAAGGAGCAGCAGAGTATGCATGTCAGGAGGAGAAAGGAATAGGAAGGAGAAGGGAGGCAGCTAAGCTGAAGAGAAAACAAGGAAAAAAGAATGGAAAGGTAGAAGGGAGTTTTGGATAAATCAGTAGCGGAGACCATGGTGAGACATCTTGAGGGAGACGGCCACTAGGATTTGATCGCGCTGTGGTCTGTACTTCCCTACCATACGCCCAAGATGCATCCCATCCAGGACAGCCGTCTATGCACTCCTGGCACCGCCATCCACGGCTCCACCTTGCCATGGAGAGAGTCAGGACACCCTCTTTCACCCTCAGCCAGCTAGGGGAAGTGAAGGGCAGTCACCAGCCTCTGGGAGAAGAGACCAAAGCAGGAGAGCCAAGTAGATGAGTTAGGGCAGAGAAGTAACTAGAGCAGAAACAGGATCCAGAAAGAAGACAGGGAGAAAACCAAGAGGCTTAAGAGGGGAAAAAAACCCTTGGTTTCCTATTTCACATATTGTCAATACTCACATTGAGCTTGAAACCCAATCAAGAACTTCAGCCAAGAAGAGGTTGCTTGCACCAAGAAGGGGAACCAGCCTTCAGCCTCATCCCACTGCTGCTGCTTACATCGCGGCTAGACTTCTCACGCCGAGTTTGAACTTTGAAAGCTCCTGACCACTGCATCATGTTGAGGCTTTAGCAGAGATATAAGAG